TCCGAAGACAACAGGACAAATGGGGCCTGAGCTTGGCCCGAAGGCCAGCCCACGTGTACAGGAGCCAGACAAAATCTAAAGTGACCGCTAAACGTCCAGAGATCGCGTAAGCAAAGCCCTTGTACACATGGGCTGGCCTTTGGACCATGCCGGGCCCATTTGTTCTGTCGTCTTCGAATTACATGTATCCAGCTGTGCTTACTGAACTCTTATATCGGCTAGGAAGTCTCGAGACGCTACACTCCTGAAGCGAAAAATGATTTGAAGAGGGCAGTAGGTTATGAAGACGTTTTTACGTTGGCAGAAGAGGCGAAGCCAGCTAGCGGAAACCTACCGTTCTGTATATGATGCCTACTAAAGCTTCCTCAACCATTTTTTTCTAAAGCTTTAGGTTGAGGAGCCTGAGGACAGGCAGGCGGACCCTATAATTGCCACATTAAATAAATAATAACATTTCGTAGATGAAAAGGTGTTGCCGAATAAACAGCGTCAAGACGAACAATCACAGCACCCTCGAGTGCAAATTAATACGGAGTATCACAAAATTTATGTGATAAAGTGTATTGTCTGCAATGGCGCAATAATTTTTGGAAAGCAAAATGATCGGAGTTGCATTAGAAACAGATATCATAGTCATTATTATTATTAAAACTAACATTGTCAAGTTGCGAAAAAGCACGATTTTTATAAGGAAGTTGTCACTTTAAACTTTAATCGTAAAAAGGTTAACAAAATACAATATATTTAAACTAATGTGTTTTATACGTCGAATGTGTGGTGTGCTTATCTTAAACTGCCCAAACTCGAACAATCGTGTTTGGAATGAATCTTGAACTCTTAGGTGCTTTTTCTTTGGATCCATATATTTGCACTCAATTTCTGCATGCTGCGTAGCCTTCTGGATACATTGCTCTTATTATTGGTGCGCTAGTAAATATGTTCCCTTGCGTCCCTTATTAGAATATTTCTTTACACGCATAGAGGCATTTCACCAAAATTACCCGGAGGCAGCAGATGGTCATCTCGAAAGGATTAAGAAGGATGAGTCAGGAGGATGTGCCACTTTTGTTGTCACAATCCATTTCAATCGACCTGGAAGTTTGGTGGCCGTTGGATGTAACGATGGCCGTATTGAAATCTGGGACTTTGTAACTCGTCGAATTGCAAAAATCATTGTAGCTCATTCGCATCCAGTTTGTTCGATAAGGTAATATTGCTTGGAAGAAGTGTCTGTCTATCTCTATTATTAGCTGGAGCCGCAACAGTCGTCAGTTGTTGAGTGCCTCGACCGATAACACGGTCGCCATCTGGAACATAGTGACGGGGGAATGTGAGCGAATATTCACTTTTCCCTGTCCTGTCATGAAAGTACAATTCAATCCGCGAAACTCTGCTGAAATTCTGGTCTGTCCACTTCGACACCCACCCGTCTTGATCGATGTTACCACGGGAAAACCCATCATTCTTAAGCAGGAGGATGAGGTTAGGTTTTGTCATTGGTGCATCATTTTGAGATGTTCTGTTTTGTGTTGTACCATTCTCTTGGTTTCGTATCAGGTCGATTCTATCGTTGTCGCCAGGAAGGTAACGTTTCGCTTTACCTCGATCGCTACATTCGTTTTATCACTTTAATGGTATTCTGTTGAATGTCGATTTTTAAGGCGAAATCGCCTTTCATGGACTATTTTGTGGATTTTAGAACGACCCTAGTGTTGTTGCCTCTTATGATCGCCGCGGAACACACATTTATACAGGAAACTCGAGGGGCAAAGTAGGTTTTCAGTTGTTTCATATCCAAATGGGGGATCTCTTTCTGAATCCATAAATATAAAATAAAGGGTTATAGTCATAAGATTCACTTTCTAAAACTGGTCGCTGTAGTTTGGTCAGTTTTTTGCATGGTGTACAAGGTGTTCTGTCTCCCCTAACTTGGCTACTGTCTACAGATTCCACACTCTTATTTGGTCTTATCAGCTACCATTGTCCTTTGGTAACTAGTGCTGACGAGTGATCACTGAGCTGAAGTCATTCGCTTTTAGTGACTTTTTTTGCAAGATATCGATATCTATTGATCGGGTTAAGTTACTCACTGTTGACTCCGACAATTTGTTTTTTCCAGGTCTGTATCTACGACACTAAGACGTTGAAGGTTGTGAACCAGTTT